GCAGAGAGAACCTTAAGTACTTGTCACAGTGTATTTATATTTTTTTTAATTAGATACACTGTGACTTGGCAGCTTCCCTTCTTTTTCTGCCTTGGGGTTTTCTTGAGCTTTGGACAGGTCTTCTTTTTGATGTAGGACCTGTCTCTGAAGTACAGATTAACCTGTAGCTCAGTCTTATCATTGCGGTTTCTCAAAGACCGACTTACATTGCTTCCAGATTGTTTGGTTCTCTCTGTGAAACCTGTACTGATGTCGAGGCATGACCACAAGATAGGTAGCTCTTTTTCTTCGACCTTTAACCCTCAAGGCTGAATCGAAACGTTATGTTCATCCTGAGCCTGTACCTGTATCAGTTCTGCACATCTCAAAGCACTTGTTAGATTCCACAAACACCAATTGCATTTCTTAAAGTAACAAAACGATTAAAGTCCAATGGTTTGGTGAATAAATCAGCCAGTTGAGATTCAATGACAACATGCTCGATTACTACCTGTTTATCCTCCACTAACTCACGGATAAAGTGGTGTCTTATGTCGATGTGTTTTGTCCTTGAGTGTTGTACTGGGTTCTTGGAAATGCTTATAGCACTCTTGTTGTCACACAAGAAGTGGACCTGAATCCATTCCATAGTCAGCAGACATCTGCTTCATCCACAGTAGTTGGCTACAACAGCTCCCCATGGCAATGTATTCTGCTTCAGTAGTGGAGAGGGACACTGAATTTTGCTTCTTGCTGAGCCACAAGATGAGGTTGTTCCCGAGAAAGAAACACCCACCACTGGTGCTTTTCCTGTCATCAGCACTTCCTGCCCAATCTGCATCACAATATCCCACTAGGTTATGATTCGATCCTTTTGAGTACCAGATACCTAAATCAACTGTGCCCTTGACGTACTTGATGATCCTCTTTACAGCCTCAAGATGAGATTGCTTAGGTTTAGCTTGGTACCTAGCGCAGATGCGAACACTCAGGCACAGATCCGGTCTGCTCGCTGTGAGATAGAGGAGACTCCCAATCATTCCCCTATACAAAGTTGGATCAACACTTGTTCCCTCATTATTTCGCGTGAGACTGGTGGTTGTGCTCATTGGGGTCTTTGCTTCTTTGGCTGAATCAAGATTGAATCTTTTCAAGAGGTTTCTAGCATAGGTGCTTTGTGATATGAAGACACCTTCCTCAGATTGAGTGATCTGAAGTCCCAAAAAGTACTTGAGCTCTCCCACCATACTCATCTCAAACTCACTTGTCATGCGTGCAACAAATGCATCAACTAGCTCTTGAGAGGTCCCTCCAAAGATTATGTCGTCCACATAAATCTGAACAACCATAATCTTATCTTTCTGCTCTAGAATGAACAAGGTTTTGTCCACACTACCTCTCATGTAACCTTCTTGAACTAGGAAGCTCGTCAGTCGTTCATACCAGGCTCTAGGTGCCTGCTTCAGTCCATACAACGCTTTCTTAAGCTTGTACACATGAGCCGGGTTGCCTGCATCTTCGAACCCTTTCGGCTGCTCCACATACACCTCCTCCTGAATCAGACCATTCAGAAAATCACTCTTGACATCCATCTGATATACCCTGAAGTTGAGTATGCATGCCATTCCTAGAATGAGTCCGATTGACTCAAGGCGTGCCACAGGTACAAATGTCTCTTCAAAATCCACTCCTTCTACTTGGGAGTATCCCTGAGCCAGTAGACGGAGCTTTGTTTCGAACCACTGCTCCATTCTCATCAATTTTGTTCTTGAAAATCCACTTGGTTCTCACAATGTTGCAGTCCATCGGTCGTGGCACTAGTTCCCACACGTCATTTCGAACAAACTGCTCGAGTTCTTGTTTCATGGCAATGATCCAGATGTCATCCTGCAACGCTTGTCTGTGATCTTTTGGTTCAATCACTGATACAAAGCAGGAGTATAGCACCATCTCAGAGAACTTCCCAATCATTTTCTTGAAATCCAGTTGAATGTCACGAGTCTTCCTCCCTTCATTCACCTCACCGATGATATATGAGGCTGAATGATTCCGATGAACTTGCTTGGTGTTCTCCTGAGTCACGATCTGAGGCTCTTCGGTTGACACAGATGGCTATTGCATCGCCTCTGCTGTCTGTGTTACCCGATCCACTTCATCACCTTCAGAATCACTCCCGATCAGAGGCTTCTCCCATTCCATCTGAGCGTAGTCATCGAACACCACATTGACTGACTCAACCAGAACCTTCGTCCTCATGTTGAACACACGAAAGGCTGAGCTATGACCTGAGTAGCCCAGAAAAATTCCTTCATCACTCCTTGAATCAAACTTTCCAAGATGATCCTTATCATTCAAGATGTAGCACCTGCATCCAAAGATATGAAAGTAACTTATGTTAGGCGTCTTTCCTTTCCATAATTCATAAGGAGTTTTTGATGTTCCCTTTCGCATGTACACCCGATTGATTATGTAACATGCTGTGCTGACTGCTTCTGCCCAAAAACGTTTGGGAACTTGATTTCCATAGATCATCGCACGAGCCATCTCCTGAAGTGTTCGATTCTTCTGTTCCACTACGCCGTTTTGCAGTGGAGTTCTGGGTGCAGCAAACTGATGAGCTATTCCATGACTTTCACAGAACAACTTCATGAACTCGTTCTGAAACTCTCCTCCATGATCACTCCTGACTCGTTTGATTGAACCTCGTTCATTCATGAGTTGTAGAGCCCAGATTCTGAAGCTGTCCGCCGTGTCAGACTTTTCTCGGAGAAACCTGACCCATGTGAATCTGGTGAAGTCGTCAACCAGCACAAACACATACTTTTTACCTCCCAAACTCTCTGTCTGAACTGGCCACATCAGATCCATGTGAACTAGATCAAGTGGTGCTTTGGATTGTACATCAGGTACTCGTTTGTGTTGAACTTTTGACCTGTTTGCCTTGGTTACACGCTCCACACACAAACTTATCTCCTCCCTTAATCTTTGGAACTCCTCTAATGCTCTCCTTTGAGATGAGATCATTGAGATTCCTGATGTTCATGTGTCCGAGTCGCTCATCCTGCAAACTGCTCGAGTTCTTGTTCCATGGCAATGATCCAGAACTCATCCTGCAACGCTTGTCTGTGATCTTTTGGTTCAATCACTGATACAAAGCAGGAGTATAGTGATAACACCGTATTTTGACCACTTTTATGGATCGTTTTGAAATACTTTTTCTATGTTTTTAATTGCTTTTAAGTACTTTTATTATGTTTTTCTAGTATTTATAGTTCCAAGACTCTTTTCAGGTAACTTAGGGAAAAGCTTAACAAAATGGATAGAAAACCAGATTTCAGCTCAGAGTCAAACCGTCAGAAGTTCACCCCTGATTGAAGGCCTTATCACCGTCTGATCCAGCTTAAATTTGGAGACCTTAAATATGGAAGTATCAGCTTTCCAGTGCACTTTACAGATTGGCAATCCAACGGTTAAATCAAAAGATACGCGAAGAGCAAGATGTCCCGTAAACCAGCCGGCAAGCACTTCCACCCGCGGCCAACAAGCATTTTCCCGCGGTCAGGAGCATCCCGACCGCGGCAAACCATACATTCCCCGCGGTCAGAGCACTCCCGACCGCGGCCTTCAACCTCCAAGCCCAAAAAGCCCATTTCTGAAGCCCACATTTGGAGAAACCCTAAGTGACGTCCAGAGAGGTCTTGAGCACTATAAATACATGTCTTAGGAGCCCTAGAAATCGTATGCTACCTTAGAGACCACCGAAATATTTACTTCATACTTTTATTGTTTTTGCTTTAGCTTTTAGGGAGAGAGAGATTTGTTCTCTTGAACCCTTGTTCTTTCTTTATCAATTTCGGTTTCTATTCTACTTCTTAATATTATGTCTTTGATTTTGTTCATTATGTCTGAGTAGTTTTATTGTTGGGATTAAGGGATTTTCGATGGGGATATATATGTTCGGTGAGGATTCCATTGGCTATTGAGCAGAATCTTAGAACTTTTTCTTCTGAATTCGTTTTTCCTGCATGAGAGTAGCGTCATGAACTACAATCTGATCCAGATGCTTGGTGACACGAAAGTGTTCATCAGGTATCAGATCTAGTTTGGGAGAGCAAAACAAACATAGGAGTGGAAACCTACCTATGGGCGATTTGTGAATTAGGACGAGTCTTAAACATAATGCATCTCTTCTCTTCCAGGGCCAGAGTGGAAACCTACTGGTCAGGGTTGAGAGAAATAGTTGTCTATGATCACGACAGTGGCGTATTCATACGTCCGTGACTCCAGTTCGAAAAGTTTAAGCTAAGATCTTA